AGTTTAAGTATTCACTGCAGCACTTGCAGGGACCTGCAAGTTTCATGTTTGTAGCTATTAGGTCTAGAAAATTATTCCAATTGCAACTCTGCCTCTTTGGCTAAAAGATTAAAAAAAAAAAAAAAAAAATCACTGCAGGCAAGATGGAACAGCTTAAAAGGAAGATATGGGAGTGGCCCAAACCCAGGATAGCATGTGGCTATGTTACTACAGCTTCTTTTTAAAAGATGTCAGCTCTAACCCTTTCAGCCCTTGGAAAAATCTGAGCCACTTATAGCCTCAATGAACAGAAACCTCTGAAGTCTGGCATGAAAAGGTGCCATTTGCCTCCTATTCTGGTCATTAGTTAAAAGAAAATGCAATAACCTTCCTCAGCTTCTGAAAGAGAAGATTTAAGATTTAGGCACCCATTCCCAGCAGAGACATCAAGTTCTGTAGAGTCCAAATAAAGACAAGTGTTCCAGTCAGAGTTCCACAAAAAGGATTTTCAGTCTTGCGAGTGGATGGGATTGGCCTCTATTCCTATTAACTAACACTGGTGGCTCCCATCTCAGCATCTCTGCTTTTGTGAATCCCATTACAGTGATTCCACGGCATTTAAAGCCAATCCAGGTTGGCAAAGTTACAGTTTTGTTCACTTTGCCAACTCAACTCCATGGTCTTACTGCTTTCTCTGGGTCAGGTATTTGTCTGACCCTGCGCTGAGCTGGTTAAGTGAACTAAACCAGCAAAAAATTAACTGTACATACATCTTCTCTGCTGGCTTAGCTCCCTGCATTGCTATGGAGGGACCCTAACGATAAAAATGCATCATTTAAGACAGCCTAAAATCCAGGTGCTGCAATAATTAGCTTTAGAATTCCTCTGTCATACAGGTTTTAAAAATGTCTGTGTGACAGTGGGCTGAAACGTCAAAATGACTAACTAATTTTTCTTTTAGTAGCCTAAGTAGGGCCCAATCAAGGATCAGATAGTAATTATAACAGAACTTGCATAAACCTAGATGTAAAACACAAAGAATTACAATTCTGTTTAAGACCAGAGAGAAACAGACATGATTTATAAGAAAGGAACTTTTAAAGAACCTACTGTCAAAGTAGCAGGAAACAAGTGGTGTATTGGCACCAAACACCTTTGTAGCTGACTCCTTGGTTTTATCTGCACTCTTCCCTTCTCCGTCATCAACACTAGTGTCTGCTCCCTGAAGTTATATATAGAAAAAAAGTTACTGCGTATTTACAAACATAGAAGGAACCTGATAAAAGTGGACTGTGTGTGGGAATATACAGGTTTCAGTCTCTCCTCCAGGACAAGAAGGAATTTACTTTCCTGAGTAAATGTACTTTAAAAGATGTTTACTCATTTCCGAAGGTCATCTCTTGTTGCCATTGAAGCTGTGCAGAAATCAGATCCAGTCATTTCATCTTACTTTCCAGAATGTCTTATTTCTGGAGATACACTAGCTACCTGTCAGCTCTTACTGAAGGAGAGGTTGCAGGTCTTCTGCACTGTGCTATTGCAGAGAACTGCTCCAAGGCTTTATCCTAGCAATACCCCAGGAAGTATATAGTCAGAAGAGAAACTGACACAGGAATTTTTAAACTGTGGAACTAAATTAAGTGGAGAAAGAAAATGCTATCAATGAATCATGGGTCAACTTTTGGTGCAAAAAAGAAACAAAGCAAGAAAAAAGCGCGCTTTTGTTAATGCTATACAATCAGACTCAGAATCACTACTTTAGAAAAACAAAGCAGCCTTCTCACATTATTTGCTCCAATTTGTATTTTGTTAAATAGAGCTTATCTATGAAGCTGTGTTAACCTGAAAACTCGAGGAATAATTGCATTCTGATGATCTGTTTGTGATGTATGACATTCTGGCTTCTCCAACACTTTGCTATCCTTTCTCATGTTTGGTTGTTTATATATGCAAATATTAATCAGGGGCAACTATTTCAGTGCCTGTTGTTTCTTGTACTGATGTTAACACATCTAAATTATGCACATGAAAAGCTTGAGCTATCTTTTCACTTCACTTACACAAGGTTCATCTAGTAATTTGGCCTTTTGCTCTAAATCTCACATAATGTAATGATAAAAGTAATTTGAAAAAATAAAGTAATAAGCATGTTATGCAAGAGTCTCTACTGTGACTTTAATGGTCCCTTTCAGAATTTAAACAATTTAAACAATATAAACTGTATTAGTTCCTCAGTTATATATCAATCTAACAATTCAGGGACTAAAATAGCTGATATACTTGTTTGTTTACTGTAAATTAACAGATTGATATTTTAAAGACTGTTTTGGTACTCTGTCCCTTACCAAAGCACCTTCAAGTTTAAAGATAGCTGCTGCACCATGTGTCTCTGAGGGAGCCATTTTTCGTCTCCATCGTCTTCGACGGAAAGTGTCAGAACTGCGTTGTTTCCAGTGAAATTTCCAGCCAATCAAAGAAGCGTATTCCCATCCTTCTTGATCTTCATATGGTGACATTCCCTGGAAGACATAAATCCTTGTTATCCACAGTGTTGTATAAATGTAATGAAAAAACTCGGCACTTGCTCTGGCAGGCATAATAATCCCCTCATAAACCAAAGCTGGAAACATCAATTCACAAAAAGACCAAAAAAAAGGAATATAATGAAAACATACAAGGTTGTTCTAGATTTTTTTGTTTGGTATATATTTTTTCTTTATTCAGGAAATGAGTAATCTCACGCAGATTTTTTTTAAAAAAAGAAACTCAAACTGTTACAATGTGCAAGTCTCTGACTGCATTTCTCTTCTGCTTACCCTTCCTGCTGTTACTGCTTGAGCTGGATCCCTCTTACGTTTCCGCACCAGTCTTCGTCGTCGATGTATATGGTACATTTTCTCTGCAGCAACCCATGACTTTGGTTTAGTGTCTGGAGGAATAGTAATTCCATATTCCCATCCTAAAACAGATATTTCCAGAAACATAAGCAAGATACAAAGAAGAAAAGCATGGGAAGTAGAGTTATTGCACCTACAGAGGATGAAGCTTTAGTCACATAAGACTATTTGATATTGCAAACCCTAAATGCCCAATAGCTAGGGGTTAACTGATGACATTTTATGATGATGCTATGTTATAAGATATATGACAATAAAAATCTCAACATTAAAACATATACAATACATTTTAAGTTCTTTTCTTTGCATTCTTGTTTTTTCAAATGTTAGGTGTATTGATATCACATTTTCACACTTCCCCACTCTTTTAAGTAAGAGTGGAATGTCCTGTGTACTCTTGCAACTCCAGCAGCTTGGCTTTTAAAGGAACACCAACTATCTGAACTCTGATCATAAAACTTTAAGAATTGGTAAATCTGTTACTGTATTTTGGCTCTACATATTATAATTCAGTTGTCAGGTATCTAGGACACAGACTTTTATTTAGATTGATCTCTTATTAAAAAGTTACTGCAGACTCCTACCAGGTTCCAGTTAAGACAGATATCAGTACTCTTTAAGATAGATAAAATACTTTTTCTACTCAAATAACTATTTCACTTATATTTAAAAGCAATAACTATTTTGAGAGTTTTTAGCTGTTTTAGAACAAATTAACGTTCATGATAGTTTTGCAAAATTCTGGGCTTCCCAGAATCTTCTACAACTTTTCCTTTTGCTTTTATTGTTCATTTTGTTTTCGAACCATCAAATCAATGTCCTGAAAATACTTTGCTATGAGAGATCATCTGCTTTTTCCTGTTGCTGTAGAATCCAAATTATGGTCTTATGAAGTTGTTTATATCACAGCTTTCTAAGCTGGAACAGTTTTAATTTAGTATAAGTAACAAGCATAAAAAAATCAAAGCAACTCCAGGAAAAATGGTGGCTCTGTGCACGTAGGATTTTCTAACCTGATCAGGTTAGTAGTACATTGAATTTGAAAAACTCTGTCTAGCAGCATCAGATTCTTCACAGAAAGACTTTGAAGTCTTTTTCATTTCAGAATTGCCTAATAATCAGTTACATACTGTTAAGATTTCATCCTGATCAGTCTTGCACAGCTCCCTTCCCACACAAATTCAGTGCAGTTATTCTGCTCTCAACAATATAGGAATCCTTCACACCCTTGTGTGGCGTGTGACCAACACAAACAGGTTCCTGACCTCCTTTGGTCCCCAGACGTCCCGATTCACCTCTTAGCATCGCTTGGTGACTCATCCCCTGGCTGAAGGCTCCCAGTTAAATTACCAGATAGGTCCAAACCTGGCTTTGCCACATATTCTTGGTGCAATTACTGAGGCTTTATGTCTCAAGCTTCTGACTTCTCTGAAAATTACTGCTACTGATCTACGTCTTACAGGCCTGATCCTAACCACCGGACTGCATTAACACTGGACTTGGGAAAAATGTTTTGGAAACTTATTTCAAACAAGAATGGGTTATTTTTCCAAGCATACTGTTTATACACACAGTTTTCCCAACTGGAATCTCTCATGTTAGTAGATCGTTGTTTGCATTAGCCCTCTTTTTTTTTTAATTTGTCAAAGCTTTTGGCTCAAAATTGTCATCTGCTGCTGCAGTTAAGACCAATATACAGCTTCTTAGATTATGTGATTCTCTCTCCAGTAGGGACTTACAAATGCATTTATTACATCTACTGTTCGAAATACTGGTACCTTTTTGATCCAAGAAAGGCTCAATGAGAACAGGTAGTTTGATGGAACAGTGATTAAAATGGAAACAGAAACAGATGCAGACAGTGAACACTTTCTCAATGTCATTTTATCTGATTCCTTAAGCACCTGTTATCCAAATATTTCCTTGACATTTTTCCATAGGGCAACCACTATCATGCTCAGGCCATTGGTACAGTCTTGACATGCATCCTCCTTCAGTATAGACAGATTGTCCTAATAATCAGCAGATAAACAGTAAATCTTACCGTGCTCATCCACTGCCCGATTTAAATCAGATTTCCAAGCATCATCTTCCCACATCCATCCAGGAGGACACGTGAACTCACGTGGTGGTGGAGCTTTTTCTCCATTCTTTTATATAGGGAAAACAACAGTTCTGTGCATTAGTAGACAAAATATGCTGTGTAGCAAATCCTAGAACTCCTTCTCTTAAACCTTTACTTATCCAGTGAAAAATATAAGTCTCACCACATCTGTGTAACTCTCTTCAGATGCTTTCCATTCCCCTCCAGGATAGCGACTCTCATTTTCATATACTTCGTCAGTAAACTCAGTATGACCAGCATCAGCTTCAGTCAACAAACTGCAAGTCCAAAGCAAATATAATACTAAACCAAATGTATTTTAGTTAGCTACAGAGAATACATAGAAACAATGTACAAAATGTGCACACGTGCTGGAATTCTGGATTGTCCATCTCTGTGAAGTTTTATTTATTAATAGAGTACAGTGTAGCCCTCATCTGTATGAGGGCTACTTATTTCCTTAGAATGTCTTCCTAAAATTGAAGCAACTCCAGTAGTAGTAAGCAATAAGAGGAACATTACTCATGAGTGACTAGCGGGAGGGTTTTAACTGCTGTGTTATTCAGGATCCGCTTTCAACACTTCCTCTTGGAAAAAGAAAAAACATCATATATTTAAGCATAGGAAAACCCAGACTACACATGACAGTTATATGCACCTCTAATTTATATATATGTAACTATGCACTAAAATTTGGCAATGTACTTAATTTTGTTCCCCTTTATGCTGTTGACAAGGCAAGTAATCAATTGGCTAATATTTTTCTAACTTGCAAGTAAAAGAAATAAGAGAACATTAAATTAGACAAAATAGCCTTGATTTACAATTGTGATTAACCGTGATTGACAAAGCACTAAAGTATGTTCTAATATGCCATCTGCTGGTCAAATAAAGCCATGCAGATTATTTTCCAGTAAAAGCAGATGCAAGGCATAAACATGCTTATGCATTTTAACAGCAGGGTTTTTTTCCATTATCTGAGAAAATAGCTCCATGTCTGTTATTGCTTTTCTTCATGTCAGATTATTCATTGAAATAAAAGCTACTAATTGAATATGAAAATAAATCCATCCATTCATGCCTATAAACTGATATTTTAAAATGAATTAAATAATAGCACTTATTTTTCCTGCACAGTTCTTTTATAGCAACAGTCCAATATTTTTTTTACCATCAGAAGACAAGAATTTAAAATGGGCTGAACCTTTTCTTTTAAGAAAAAAGAAAATAATCTCTTTCTCATGCTGGCTTTTGTTTATGAAACAAATAATTTACCTAGTCTGGTTTAAAGTGTGGCAACACAAATAGCTGAACTGGCACAACTCAGGAGTTGCAAACCGCTGACAGAGCAAGACTGAACCAGATAGAGCTGGGGGAGGATTGACAGCTCATGAATTCGGTCCTCCAGGGGAGGAACTGTCATATGGCACCACAACCTTAGGCTCTGAAAACAACTCCTGCCTTGAGTCAGTTTGAGACATAACCTGTGACAGCTGTTTACAGAGGGCAATGGAACTTCTCAACATTTAGTGAAACAAAGACAAAAAACCGTCCACTGTATGTGAATGACTGTGCAAATGCTGTAATGGTGTTGATACAACATGAACTGCAGATTTATACTGGATGTCAGGGTTAAGTTTTTATCTATGGAAGATCTAGCTATCTAAGGGTCTTCTCTGAAACCATCACAGCATGATCTGAGAACCTCACATAGACACAAGTGATCCTCACAGTAGCTTTCTAGGAAAGGAAAGCTATTATTATCCATTTTTAAAAATGACGCAGTGAGACACAGAGAATATAAGCAATATGCTCATCACCACATGGGGACTTCTAAACTGTAAGGTGGTTCCTAGGAAATGGATGCATTCTTTCCGTTGTATGTTTTATTTTACTTTTTAAAAAAGGTAATGTTAATTTTAGTGTTATTAACTAACTTTGACTATTGGCTGGCTTTTGCTGTCCTAGAAAGTTCATCTTAAAATCTTTCCCAGCCAAGAAAACAGAGAGGAGCTTTTACTCCGTGGTCTGAGACTAAACTTCTTTATTTCTGCCTGCACAAAATTAAAAAAATCTGACCTTCTTTCAGGATCAACCATCCATTCTCCTTCCCACTCCCAGCCTTTTGGGGGTAGAAAGTACTCTCTTTTCAGTTTGATTTTTCCTGTGACGTCAGAAAACTTGTGCCGACCAACAAGTCCTGAAGTACCCCACTTTCCAAAAAGAAGAGCCTGATTTTCATACTGTTTGAGAAGAAAGAAAAGATCAGTACTTTAGGAATAATAAAAAGCTTTTAGGAGAAAAAAAAAAAAAAAAAAAAAAAGATTTATGTAACTGTTACAACTGAAACATTCTACTATATGTTTCCTTTCTCTGAAATTAAGTACTCCCTTCTCAGATTACTCTGCAATGTCATGATTAACTTCTTTCTTTCATTTTCTTCTATGCTGCCTGGTAAACAATGATTCCACTGCTAAACTAAACTATCTTCTCAATTTAATGCCTCTCTGCAACTACAGTCAAACTTCCTCCAAATTAAAGCTTTGTTAAATAAAATTCCATTACATTATTCAAACAATTTTCTTCCATTCCCTAAACGTGTGATCCTCTCATTCTTTTCCATGTCAAATCTCCTCCTCTCTTCTTTCATAACATATAAAACTGAATTATAGTCTTATCATGGAAGCTACCAGGGGCATGATTCTGATGTCACCCCAGTTTATATAGTATATTTCCCTTTATGCTAATGGAATTATTTGTACTTTATGATGGCCTTGAGTTTTCGGCTCTTATTCCTGTAAAATTGTTGGATCGCTATAAGAAGAGCAAAAAATGAGATATTCAGTACTCTCTTAAACTTGATACTGAAATAATAGCTCTGAACATCCATTGATTATTTTAAGTGACTTAGTGCAGCACTACTAAATATTTAGGCATAGGCGTGATGGTGACACAAGCTTCTATAAAAATGTCTTGTTCATTAGCTATTATACTGATATTGGATTATATGCACCATTAGGTGATGCGGCATATAAAAGACACCTGCCACTTACCACTATCATTCAAAATCTCCTTTATATGCTGTGGGACTATTTCAAGCATTTTTCTTCCAAATTTGTTAACACTCAACATTGAAATGTTATCATACTATATCCTTTTGTCAGCAAAATCTACTGGTTTTGACCAGTTTTTCCTGTAACAGTAAATTTTCTACTGCTACAAAAGAACCGTTATTAAGCTAAACCACTTGTATCCAAGTATCATTTGTAGAAGTGAAGAAGCAATTAAAATAAAAAGGTTATTCACATGCCAAAACATAATGGTCTAGATCCCAATCTTAATTACACTGATAAAAATCTAAAATAAATGTCTTTGAAATCACTGGAGTTAACCAGATTTTCACCTGATTAACCAGTTCAGAATCTGGTCTGCTGAAGTTCATCTGGTAGGCACAATGGACTTGATCATTAACTGCCTTGAATGGGGTCTATTTGTTTCAGTATAATAAATACTCCTCTCCCTTTCTGCCTGGCATGCAAAAAAAAAAATTTCAACAGAGCTCCAATTTCATTGAATTCCTAACACTCATGCCCAAGTTTAAGGTAAGAAAGCAATGATGGACATACCATTTCTGCAAAAACACTGAACGTTCCCTCTGCAAAGCTATTAAACTTCTTTTCAACTGCACTGAGCCCAAGCCAAATGTTAACTCGCAACTCCACAGGCATTTTGACATCTTTCGTCTTGTCCTGTGGGTACTGGCACATGAACAAAAAAAGTTATTCTTCATTACGTTATGCAGGTGTTGTAGCTTTCACTAAAATATACACAATAACATAGAGATATGAGTAATAATACATGATTTATTTATCTCTTCCTGTACTGCATTTCCTCAAAAACCAGTAATAAATAGTTCAGGAAGGAAGCATTCTTTAAATGGTACCTGCCTAAGGCATGTAAAAAACAAACACAGTAACAGTAATATCATCTCTGTTCCTGTATACTCTCTCCCAAGTTTCATCCAGCAATGAGTTTTTAATTATGACAGTAACTTAAAACTTCGATATTGATGTTAGCATTTCTCGTCAGGAGACTCTGGAAATGCAGAGGTTAGTCAGAATGGTTCACTAAATGTAGAAGCAATGCATCATAACATGCGTGATAAGGGGGCTTGCATAAGAACATGAAGATATAGGCTTGTCTGCATTGAAGCATTAATCAATATAACTACTAGTACATGGACAAACTGTAAATGCTATTGTACAGTCAGATTGCCTTTTTCCTGGTTCAGTTTATTCCAATTAAAGATAGTATAAACTTAAATGGAGAAAGGCATTCCTATTCAAGAGTAAGACTAAACGAGGAGAGACATACTAGGGAACTTCTGGGTGTAGACGTGCTCTGTATTACTTGCAGAAAACCATCCAAAACTTTGAACAGGTTTTCTTTGTTCTCTGACTTACACGAATTATTCCCTCTGAAAGTCTCCATTAACATCCAACCCCAAAACACCAACCCCAGTAACACTTTAAAAGTCCTATCACAATTTTGAGCTCTTTCAGAAAAGCCTCTGAGTTAGGGGTTGATGCTGGTTCTAACTGGCTTATGATGACCTTTAGAATTTCTGTGATATTTTGAAGAAGCTATATGCAGTTGGCTTTTAATCCATCCTGAGTTTTGACACCTCATTGTTCATAGTTTGTTTGCACATTTCATGCTCATGTTAGGAGGCATCACAGTTTAGGGAGTTAGAGCTAATTATTTTTTAAGGGGGGAAAAAACAAAAGTACCTTTAGGAAGATTGTTTGGGTCTTTCCACAATATTTACCAGATGATTCAGGGCTCGTTGTGGAGTACAGCACTTGGTGTGCAGGAACACGAGCATAAGCCAGTCTTTTCTCCCCTCGGATCATCCATATGATTACATCAGGCATACTGTTTTGTGGCTGTGGATTATTTGTGGGGAAAAGAAAGTTAAGAATGGTAATTAATAGAATGTTAAACTAATCTAATGCTTAGACAACAGAAACATAAATTAGGATTTATGTCAAAGGATTTATCACTTAAAATCAATAATTAACATGAATTTATGATAAATAGAGGAAATTGTTTTACTTCGCAAGTAACGCAAGTAACGCAAAAGTTCTGAAACAATCATTAAAAATATCATTAAGATTGTTAGAAAGCAAGTAAGTTTTATTAAAAAAACCAGTTCCTATATCTTCTGCAAATTCTTCTAGAGACGTTTTGTATCTCAATTCCTTTATGGCAACTACAGTGACTGATCCCAAATGCTAATGCTTTGGATTGACCTGTTACATATTTAAGCGCTTGGGTAGATCATCATAAGACTTTTAGCAGAAGACAGAAACAGCCTACTATCTTTTTGCAGCTTTGTGCACACCTTTGTATGCTAGCTGCAAGTCTGCCAAATTAACTGCTTTTTTTTTTTTAATCAGTAACTTTTCAAAGCAGAAGTGACAAAGAAAAAATAAAAAATTTCTACAATGTTGTGAAAACCAATTATGAGATAACTGAGATGAAACCAGCAATGTGACCTGCAATTCTGGAAGAAAGGAAAGGACAAAATACTGTCCTTTTAAACAGAACAGAATCTATTCAAATCACGGAGTGATTATTTCCCAACACACATTCTCAGTGAAGACAGCTAACAAACTGGAACATTATATTTAAGTAAATCCTAGTTACAGAGGGGAACGTTTACTTTCTCAACAACTAAAATTACTATTCTAGGGAGAGTGGATATTGCTTGATCAGCAGTGAGCATTACACCAGTTTGTGTTAGACAGCTATTTCTAAACTAACTGAATCACTGGTATTGTGTAGTACTAACCTCTTCACTCAGTTGCAGTAATTTATCCAACCAATCCTCAATCTCTGTCAGAGTGGCTTCCACATCAGTAGCTTCATTTCTCATCCTTGCTGCTGCTTCTCCAATCTGTTTGAGAGACTTGAGGCGCAGTTTTTCTATCTGAGTGTCAAGGACTGTAATGTTAGATTTGCCTTCTATGAGGGGAAATGGTTTACTGAAAAGAGAATATTTATTATGGTTAATAATCTAAGTGGATTTTATTTAGCCACACACTAAATGTGGACATGTATACAGTGGCAACAGATTGAGTGTTATTTCCTATGCTTGAAAACCACCAGAATAGTGCTATAGCATCTATTTCTGCAGAGATTTCCACCGGACAAAGTATTTACAGTAAGCAAGGGAAATGCTGTGCTTACATAACAAGCACCAACATAGAATAGCTCGAGGTGTATGCTTTAATGTAATTGCTGCTAACTAAACCAAGCAAAATCCATTTCCCTATATGTTCAAATTAGAAAATTATTGTGTCGGAATGTACATCTCAAAGATGAAATCAGTGCCTTCAGACCAAGATTAGGTTCCTTTTCCTCCACCAGAAACTGTAAATTCTCAGAAACTCAATATACATATACAGCTTGTGTCTATGACTAGAGTTATCTAACCCTCTGGCATGAAAACATCAAACTCTGAAGGAAATCCATGACACACAACTTCTGAGTCACCAGAGGGCAGAGTAACTATTCAATGGAACAAAGAAGTCCTATAGCATCACAGCAGAGCCCAGGCAAAATGAGGGTTTTGGAGCTGTTGGAGGTTTGAGGAAAAGGCAGCTTTTCAAAGACCAGTGACTATATCCCTTTAACAGAGTTCATTAAGAGGTCTTTAATACGACACTTTAAAAAAAAAAATTCCAAAGATACTGCCAAGTTTGAAAAGACTGACTCTTCTCTGACCTATTTTTACTGACAAGCCCACACACTTCTAAAGGCTTTGATTCTGCAAAACCTTGATACTGACTACTGTGCCTTCCACATAGTTACAGTTAGTTCTACTAATCTGAATGCAAGTGCTGCCTGCCCTGGGTGCAAGTACTTACACATGAATCAAATGTACCAGATCAGAACTTCCAGAAAGTCACCTCATTTTAGGTTTAAATAGTGCACTGAAAACTCTCTCAAACACTTAACTCATTTAAACTTTAGCTTGGCAAGGAAAAATTGTTCTATGAATTCAGCACAAGGAATTATGTTTTGACACAGGTTTCATGAGTTTGCTGAAAAAAACATAAAGAGCATTGTATCCTATGAACAACAGGAAGCTCATTTGGTTGATATATCCAGGTGCTATTGCTCCATAATTGTTGAGTGATAAATTTATAAAATATAATTTTTTATTTTAAATATATG